GTGCAACGCACGGCGCCATCGATGGGGGCTAATGATTTTTACAAACGAATTGACAAATCCCACGCTCTTGCTAACATCTCACCCACCCACCCACCCGCAATTTGGTTTGCTAAACCCACGCGGTGGCGATTGCGACGAGTGGTTGGCATTGGCTGGCGCATCTTTGCGGCCACGCTAGCCCGCACATGCTCGCGCGCGCTGCGGCCAGCTAGCGCGGCGCGACCGACGCGGCCGCGGCGGCGCTGACCGCCGGGTACTTCCCAGCGAGGCAGCTCAGTGCGAGTCGATAACTTTGGCGGGCGCGGTACTGCGGCAACGTCGACGACGGCAGACCCGATGACAACAATAGCGATGCCGGTGGCGATGGTGGCGATGACGACGGCGAGGCCAATGACGGCGCCGACGTTGATCACGCCTGCTGGCAACGATGACGATGTCCTCGCGTCGGCGATGAAGGTTTCGGAGGGAGTTCGACGCGCGCGCGGCCTGCGCGCGCGAGTGACCCGCGCAACATCACGCGACGCGGACCCCCCCAATAAAAAACAAAAAAAAAAAAAAAAAAAAAAAAAAAAAAAAAACCCAGCACGCGCGCAAATGCGCCCAGATAGGTTCGACATGCGGCGCGAGAGGCAAGCCCGGTAGAATGCGGTGACAACGTTGAAAATAAATAGCTTGGTTGAGAAATTGCAGGAGCGCGAGCGCGCGCTTGCATGTGGAAACTGACGTTGCACAGTCACGTGTGTTCATGTGTTGTCTGGGCACTCTTTCTTGAATCCTTGCGGAACCAACGGTTTGATATTTCCTCGCGCGCGGGCGACGACGCGCGCGCACGCAGACGACGCGCGCACGTGCACTTCGCCCCTCGTCCTGACGTGGATTCGCGCGACGGCGCGCGCGCGCAAGGGCGCTCGCGCGTTTTCGACACGCCCGCGCGAAAAGCCCGCGCGGTAACATGTCATGAACACTGCGGAAAACCACGTTCTCATTGACAATCCGCACAAGCGCGAGCGCAAGCCATTTCTGCCGCGAAACCACGTTGCCATATGTTTCGAGACTCTCGATTTGAAAATCCCTGCGAAGACGCGCGCGCACTTCGGCGGGCATCTTTCGCAACGGGCTCATGAAGACCAACGGGTTTTGACGAACGAGCGCGTGCGCAAATTATTTTTTGCAGAGGATGAGAGGGGGCGATGCCGGCCTGCCTGGGATGGTACGAGTTTATATTATTAAACTTGGTCAATGGGGCAGAATCACGGCGGCGCAATTCACCTGGCCGAACTTGACTCTACCAGCCCCACTGCTCGAGGAATCACCCAACCCGCCCACGCGAAACTTGGTTTGCAAAACCCACGCGGCTGCGATTGCGACGCCTGCTCGGCGCTGGCTGGCGCAGCGCCGCCGCCGCGCTAGCGCGCGCGTTCGCAAGCGCAGCGGCCAACTGGTCTGGCGCGACCGACGCGGCCGCTGCGGCGCTGACCGCCGGGCGCTTCCCAACGGGCACTTTAGTGCGAGGCGGCTACTTGGGCGGGCGCGGCACCACGGCGACATCGACGACGGACGACGCGACGATGATAGTAGCGCTGCTGGTTGCGATGGCGACAACGACGACGGCGCGGCCAGCGACGGCGCCGGCGCCGACCACGCCGACGACGACGACGGCGCCCGCACATCGGCGATGAAGGTTTTGGAAGGAGTTCGACACGCTCGCGCGGCAGACGCGCGAGGGTGGCCCGCGCAATACTATTTGACACGGGTCGCGCCCCACCCCCACCCCCACCCCCCACCCCACCCTGCCCCCCCACCCCAGCGCGCGCGCAAAGGCGTTCGAATGATGTCGACACGCGACGCGAGAGGCCCGTCTGGGCGAATTTCACGGAAATGTTGAAAACAAATGGTTGTCTTTTGACTTCGTGGGAGCGCGAGCGCAGGCTTGTTTTGAAAACTGATACTGCAAAACCACGTGCTCTACATGTTCGGGGCACCACATTGAAAACCCGTGCGGAACCATGCACGCGACGACGCGCTCGCGTGCGAGGGCGTTCCTGCGACTCCGACGTGCGCGCGAGAGGCCCGTCGGGCTGCACGTCATGATAAGGTTGGAAAAAAAACGATTGTCTTTGCTTCAAGGATCGGCAAGAGCCAGAGCAAAAGCTTGTCCTGTATAAAGGAATGCTCGTTGGGAAACCACGCGTTTGTCATATGCTCCCGGGGCACTCGATTAACCGAACCCTTCGCGCAAACTCCGGTTCCCCCCCCCCCCCCTTTAAAAAGATGCCGCGCGCGCGACGACGCGCGCGCGCTTCGTCCCATCTGTTGCGAGAGATTCTCGAAAACTTACGACTGATTTGTAATAAACGAGCGCGCGCGCTTGTTTCTTCAGAAGACGCAGGGCGGGGGGGGGGGCGACGCCGGTATGGTTGGGGCGATGCGAATCATAATTGGGATGGAATGGGGCAGAATTATATGCGAATTGCAATACGAACAGGGGACCAGATAAGCCCAGGGGGGAGGGGGAGATCATACTACTATTACTACTATCTTAGAACGAAGAATTCACCCCGCAGAACTTGACGTTGTCAACTCCACTGCTCGCGCCACCACCACCCACCCATCCGCATCCTGGTGCGCAAAACCCACGCGGCAGCGACTACGACTTCTGCTCGGCGCTGGCTGGCACATCGCTGCGGTCGCGCTAGCCCGCGCATGCTCGCGCACCAGCGACCAACTGGTGCGGCGCGACCGACGCGGCCGCGGTGGCGCCGGCCGCTGGGCAGTTCCCAGTGGGCACTGCAGTTCGAATCGGCGCCTTGGGCGGGCGCGGCATCATGGCGACGTCGACGACGGTAGACGCGATGACGATGCCAGCGATGCTGGCGGCGCTGATGACAACGACGACGGCAAGGCCAGTGACGGCGCCGACGCCGATCACGCCGACGGCGCTCGACAACATGAAGGTTTTGGAAGGCGCTCGACATGCGCGCGCGGCCGACGCGCGACAGTGGCCCGCATGATAGCGGTTGACACAAGTCGTGCCCCCCCCCCAGCACGCGCGCAAGGGCGTCCCAATGATTTTGACATGCGGCGCGAGAAGCCTGCGCGGCCAACTTTAATGCGAAAAACGCGACGCTCTTCTGAATAATTCGAAGGAGCGTGAATATGTTGCAAGACCAGATGGTTCTTTATATGTGTTCGGGGCACTCGATAATGAAATTTCGAACGACATTTGACATGTTGAAAGATGTCGGCATGCGCGCGCGACGACGCGCGCGCGCACTTCTGTCCCATTTGTTGCAAGGGGCTCTCGCGACAGCACGCGCGCAATGGCGTTCGAACGATTTCGACTTCCGCGCGCGAAAGGCCCGCTTGGTATCATTCTATGAAAATGCGCGGTTTCCTTAAGAATTCGCAAGAGCGCGGGCGCAGGCTTGTTGGGGAACCTCTTCGTTGCGGGACCATGTGGTTATATATTTTCGCGACATTCGATTTTGACATCCTTACGAAACATCAGGTTGTTGAAGGAATTCGGCATGCGCGCGTGCATTTCGTCCTTCTTTGTGCTGCGAAAGATGTATGAAAACTGTTGATGTTTCATAAACGGGTGCGCGCGCATAGTACTTGTTGTCAGGGATGAGGGGGGCGGGCGATACAGGCCTGCCTGGGACGGTATGAGCTCATATTTCGGGTGGGCAATGGGGCAGAATCACATGCAAATGGCAATCCGCAACAAGGGATACCATTAAATCCGCGTGGGGGGAGGCGGATGCTATGTGCTGTCTATATATCTATATATATATATATACACATATATATACATACATACATACATACAGTTCCAAATGTGCATATGTATACATACATACATACATACATACATACATACATACAAACATACAGTCATTCATACATACATACATACATACATACATACACCGTGCAATCTATGTGGTGCAAGCTATGCGGCAGCGGCGACGTGCGGCGACGGCGACGGCGACAACAAGCGCGGCGACCGCCAGTCAGACCCAGAAGCAGCGGCGACGGACGGCGGCGACGGCGACAACAAGCTCGGCAACCGCCAGCCAGGCCCAGAAGCAGCGGCGACGGACTGTGGTGACGGGCGGCGACGGCGACAGCAAGCGAGCCAGACCGCCAGCCAGGCCCAGACAACGGGCGGCGACGTGGCGGTGACGGCGACAACATAGCCGCCCTACCGCCAGCCAGGCCCAGCTCCTCAGACCAGAAGCAAAAGACCCTCGGAGCAAGCACTGATGGTATTCGGCCCCCCCCTTGGGCCTGCCCCCCCCCCGGTGGGTGTGGTGTGGCCTGTGGCCTGTGGGTGTGGGGTGGTGGGGGCGCGTTCCGAGGTTACGTCTGCGATTTGAGAAAAATCGTCATCGTCGTCGTCGGCATCTTCGCCGCCGTCGTCGTCTGCCTCTGCCCCTGTCCGCCTCCTCGTTCCAGAGAAGGCGTGGGAGAGGGGGGGGCGGAGCAAGGGAGGCATGTGGTGGCAAGGGGAGAGGAAGGAGGGGGAAGAGGGAGGGACGACGACGGCGACGACGACGGCGACGACGACGACGACGACGGCGACGACGACGACGACGACGGCGGCGACGTCGCCCCCCCCCATCCCATCTGGGGGGGGCCTGGGGGGGAGCCCGCCGAGTCCTGGGACCCATCCCATCTGGGGGCGGGGCCCGCCGGACCGGGAGCATGGATCATATATGAACCCTGGCGAGTTTTGACCAACCGGCCTGCACTTCCGAGGGGCAGAAGCCATCGGACCCTGAAAAGTGCCCCATAGCCCCATCTCTACCCCAACCCCCGAAGGGCCCCCTGGGCCAACGGAATATGGAAGAGTGGACAGATGCCCCCAAGGCCTATAGCGATTCGGGCAGCTGCCCTGATCTCGCAGCTCTGCAACTGGACCCCCCGGAGGGCCAGAATCGATAAACCGATCGGATCCCCACCGCGAGGCCAGGGACGACGTGCCCCCGTGCGTGCTCCTGTCGCGCCTCCGGCTGTCGGCGCGCCTGTCCGGTCGCGTTGGCACGGGCCGCGGGGGAGTCGGCGGCCTGGGCGCCCGCTCCGGCTCCGCCTCGGCGCGCTCGATCTCCCCGTCCCGGTCCTCGTCGCTGGAGGGAGACACGGAGGGCTGCCGTCTGGACTCGGCCTCGTCGAGGCGCCTCCTCAGCTGCTCGTTCTCGGCCTGGAGGCCAGACAGCGAGTCCGAGAACTGCGAGATCAGCTCGTCTCGCAGCTTCGACAGGGCCGCGTCCACGACCTGCTTGAAGTCGGCTTTGGCCGAATCCCGGTAGGCCGCCATGCGGGCTGGGCACGAGCGCTCGACTGGACTTGCCGGAAGAGCGGCCAAATGGCTGCGGTGGCGCCCCTTGAGCCGATTGACCTCGCCAAGATGCGCCAACGAGCCAAGGTCAACGCGTCCTTGCCCGAGGAGGTTATCTCAGAGCCCAGCAACATGTATGGCTCAGATACAGCCTCCAGCGACTCCGCACACATTGACACATATGTCTGACCAACTTGTGTCAACATGCACTGCTGCCTCCGTACTGGATCCAATATCCGTGTGGCCAACATTTATCATTTTCATACGCGTTGTCTTGCCTTACACGCCTGTGCACATTCGGTCTTTGGGGGAAAGGCTGGTTGATGTTAAAGATGATGAGCTCGGCGTGATCCACCACGCCCTCATTACATGCCTTTTCGTATGCAACTGACTGAAGCCACATTTTGGCAGGTGTGCTGTAAGCGTCGGTGCCTTTCGAAGCACATTATTACCCATCGCATCATGGGCAATGGTCAGACACAGTAAACCATATCTTTCCTTCCATATGCGCCCAATGTACATGCATGTTGTATACGAACGACGTTTTGATGCCAAAAAACATGCTGACGATCCCACCGCCTGGATTAGGGTCTTCACCTTTCATTGGCATTGGCAGTGCTGACTGTGTTTTGTTAATGTGTTCTGAACACGTCTCGGTTGCGCCGGCCAAGGTACTATCAGGCGAGATGGTCCCTCAAAAAAATACGACACGCTCAGTTTTACTGTTCCAATCAAATGCTCCTTTCTCGACGCTGACATACTGCTGGATGCTCTATTGATTATTTCACGTAGCGCATCACTCCAGTATAGCAATCGATGATGTGCAAAAGTGCTTATGAAGAAATGGCTAACCTCAACGAGCGTCCTAGTTCTTGGCCCGGGGACCTTCGTAATATACTTGGGGATTGGTGCGCCCTTGGAGGAAAGTGACGGATACTGTCTAGCCTAGCACACGAGAAGCTGCAAATTATGTCGTAGGTCGTCGTGGTCGCCGTCTGAACCCACTACATTGCAATCGTTGTCATCACAACCTTGACTCGTGGAACGATGCGCTTGCAGCAACGACTGTCAATTCACAACGCTCCCCCTGAATTCTCGCACTTCCGAACTTGAACCATCGTGCTCCCCGCTCTCCACAAGGCAGAATTAACACTATGCCCCTTTCCTTGCGCAGCACGTTCACATTCCGAAACCAGGTTCACGGCCAACTCAGCTGGTGAAGCCTTTTCTTCACTTTTTTGTGTGGGTGAGTCTGCCGATGCACCCAGGGGCAGGAGCCCCTTCAAGCCACGAGGTGCAAGTGCTGAAGTGTTGCGGGCCTTCTTTCAGCTACCTTACTGGAGCTACTCCACGTATGAGCTTGCTCGCATGATGCAAAGATAATTTAATGTCGGCGAGTTTTATGCAAAGTAGGGGTGTCGACTTCAAGTTATCAAAACGCCTTCACACTTATGATCACTCACCACTTGCTCAGAGTCGTTCCAATTCGGTGCCTAGCAATGCCGTTTCTGATAGAAAAACAACACAGCGAACCAACTGGCACCTTGCAGTCTATAGGATGAGCTGGCAACGTGGAGAAACTCGGCAATTGCGCTAGCGAGATTGACGGAATTACTGTTGGCTGCACTGGCGAAGAGTAAGAAACGATTTTCCATCAGCTGATCGCCTGCCAACCACGACGGGCATTCGATGGCGGCACTGTCTTCAAGAAAATCCAGAACAATTGATGCGTCAGCTGTAAGTCAAAAAATTGAGCCAATAATACAGCATGTCGACATGTGCCGAACCAGCTTCCCATCATTATCTGCCTCATCCCTCCTGGGCATCGCCCAGGCATCGCTTGCGTGCAGCGCCTGGCCGTGGCAACAAGGAACACCCCGAAGGCCTATAGACATCCGCCCTGAAACTGCATACTGTAAGTGACAAAATTGCATGTCTGGAAGCGGAGGTCTGCTTTAAGTATGTCAGCTTCTAAGAACCAGAAACTTGGGGGCCATGGACTAAAGAACGTACGCGTGATCCTGTCCTTCGCCGAAGGTATGAGCATGTCCTCCTGTAGCTCCGTGCTCGTCGCCACCGCCTTACGACTCATCAGCGCCATCATAATAATAATCACCTCCATCGTCATCATCGTCATCACCGCCTTCATCGTCTATGCCACCATCATCGTCATTGTCACCATCATCGTAGGTGGATGATCGCCGTCTGCACGCAGGGGCTCGAGGACGCGAAGGCCGGCCCGAAATCCAAGATCTAACACAAATGTAAAATTAAACTGCCCGATCGAGAAAGGCGGCCTTGAAGACGGTTCAAGGGAGAATTTAAAGAACGCAAATGATTCCTCGTGCCCTATCATCTGAGGAAGTAGAATGGAAGAAGGCATCGCCAAGTGCGTCATTGCCGTTGTCGTCACCGCCCACACCTTTACTCATCATCGTCATTGCTGTTTCCATTGTCTACTGTTTCGTTACTGCAGGTCGTTTGCTTATGATTGCTGATTGTGGCAGCTGCTGCTAGCTGATGGTTCCTGTTGCCTGCTGCTTGCATCTGATGCCTGCTGGTCGCTGCTTGTAGCTGTTGCCTACTGCCTGCAATTGATGTTTGCTGCGCGCTGCCGAGTTATAAGCCAACCAACATAGACTGCACTTGTCTGCCACAGAAACAGCGAGACAAAACTGTTGTGGGTGCACCGTGAGCGCGTCGCCACAACAACTCGGATTCCCCGCTTGTCTGGGCTGGGCACATGCCGTTTTCATGTGGGACGGCTGTCAGAGAGTTCATATTTTCTGTATTAACCAAGATACTCGTGTATACCGAAAACTTCCCCAAAACAATATCAAACTGAACACGCAGACGCAAATACGAATATACATCGATCGCAGCAACATGATGCCAAAAGGACGTGGATTATTTTTGCACACGCGCGCGCGCAAGCGAACCAAGCGGGGGTTTGGTACGCCAAGTCCTGACGCCCATCGTCGAGAGATCGCAGTATGATGTGTATACATATAGAAACGTTTCCTCAACCCCCTAGTCAGGCGCACGTCCACATTTCCTAGCATCCGACGAGTGCTGTTGCTTGCTGCCGAGAACTGCCGCCTGCCGCCGATTCATTTCATACTGTTCAATGCTACTTGCTGCCGCGGACGAGCGGGTTGTGTCTCGGGTGCGGGAACTCCCTGTTGTCTAGCACTGCTTGATGCGCCGCGGACGAAGCGGCTGTGCCTGCGGGACCTGCCTTTGTCGAGCATCCCCGCCCACTCATCAGCGGGAGTCGCACGAGGCCCTAGTTCCATCCCCAGTTACACTACAGTCAGACTTGATTGGAAAGGACACGCGACAAGACACGCGACAGCAATGTAGGAAGCATGGGTCGCGAGGCACAAGACACAAGGGTACCCTTGACTTGGCAGGGTCGACCTACTAATCAGGGCCGACTGTAGCGCACCAGCTGGCTCACGTCCTGGAGTTCGCCCCCCCCCCCGACCGACACGACATCTTGTGGTGGGGGCGTGCCGACCACAGTCCGTGGGGGAGGGCCGACCCTGGCGCCGCCTCCCCGGTGGGGGGGGAGGACCCCTTCCCCTTCCGGACCCCTTCCAGGCCCCTTGCAGAAAGAAGCTGAGCGGAAGGGGCTGGGGCATGGCGGACCAATCGCAACCCTCTGGGACCATTCCCAACCGAAAGGGCCAATTCTCAAGCGGCCGAACGGCCGACGAGCACCAATTACAACTACAACCCTCCATCGTGCGCCCTAGCCTGGGATTCAGTTTTTGGGGCGTTTTAGCACGATCCTGAAATCAAATATGAATCTCCTGATTGTGGACAAGCTTCGAGGACGCAGCATCAGCCAGAATTGGAATCGGTACCTCTTTACCGCGTTCCACCTGGGGGTCATACGGTTCCCAGATGAGCAAGGACCAGCGTTCATATTGGAGTCTGTCGGCTATAGTAGCAGAACTGTAGTACTGTGCCGCTGCCATACGAAGGCTGTATATGTTTCGTATTGATATGTCTTCATGTGGAGATAGTGGAAAATCATATGACAGCTGTGAAGGTGCCAGATGCGAACGGTATCGTACTCATATGGGAAGTGTGTATGTCCACCAGGGAACGGCATTAATATGTAAGCTTAGAAGGAGTGCTATATACGATCGAAAGACGTAGTGACATGTTGGCATGATGTCGTCGTAGATATACGACGTCGTTCCATCGGGGGGGGGGCGTGTAGTTTCAAAATGAGCAGCGACCAACTGCCATAATGAAACTCCACGGCCATGGTACCAGACTTGTACCATAGTCATACGACAGCTATACATGGTTCGTCGTGGCTGTATCAGTTTGAACGTCAAACCAATGTCATATGAGACCTGGGAAAATTTAGTTTGCGAACGGTATGATGCGTATGGAAAAAGCGCGTGGTTATGTCAGATAACTGATGCAGAATTTCAACATGCGAAGGGCAATGCTCATATGAGAACGTCATAACGTTCATAATTCACCTGTGCCTCCCCTGGGTCTGGAGGGGGCCGCAAGGTGTAAGAGCGTCCGAGAAGGCCTCAGTGAGAAGGTAACAATCGCTGATTATCCGAAGATTTTGGAGCAAGTGCTGCCTCCTCTGGGGGATCTTTGATCTAGCTCCTCCAAGATGGCCCCCAGATGGTCCCAAAGGCTCCCAAGAATGCCCTAAGAGGGCCCCACGAGGAGCCCACGAGGCACCAAGAATCCCCAAAGAAGCCCCCTAGAGGCACCCAAGAGACCCCCAAGAGACCCGCAGAAGCCCCCCCAAGAAACCCAAGACGCACCAAGAGGCCCCCTGCACCGCCAGGAGGCCCCCAAGACTCTTCAAGAGGACTCGAAGAAACTCTCAAGAAGTATCCGAAGAGACTCCGAAAGGCATCTAAGAGGCCTCTGGCCTTTCTGCTCGCCCTCCTCCTCCTCCTCCTCCTCTCCTCCTCCTCCTCCTCCTCCTCCTCCTCCTCCTCCTCCTCCCCCTCCTCCTGCCCTTCGTCTTCCTCATCCGCTCAATCCTCCTCCTTCTCCTCCTCCTCCTTCTCCTCCCTTCTCCGGCGTCAGGCTTGAACAGATCTCCGTTAAGGGACAGAAGAACGCATTGGGCATTCTACACAAATCAACACGTTTTTTGATGGATTATCTGAGGTCGTAAATGTATTTCTGGCCTCCGACGCTCCGATCCGTGCGAGACATGCTCCAATTTGTTTTGGTGGAGGCCGGCTGTTGAGGCGCAGCCCGTCGCGGAGGCCGGCGGAAATGCGGCTGGCCACCGCCGGGCCCTCACGGCCCAGCAGCTCTGAGGCGGCCTCGGAGGTCGAGCTGAGCGCCGCTGCCCAGACCCGCTCGCCCAGGTCTCGGCGCTCACGGCGCCATCGGATGCGCCCCCGCACCGCGGGCCTCCCCCAGCGAGGGGCACAGCCCTCCCCCCAGAGGGGGAGAAGCTCGAGCGGAAGGGGGGGGCAGAGAAGGGGGCGCCCGGCCCGTAGCCACGATGGCACGGGAGGATGGGTTGACACCATCTTTGATGAGCAGCGGGCGCAAAATTTAGCTCACGAGTGGACACGCATCGGAACATCAACATGTATTCGCATAGTTGCCGATCCGTCCTTGTGTCTGTAAATATGTCGATATGTATAGATGTATGTATGTAAAGATGTATATGTAAGTGTATATATATATATATATGGGTGGGGAAGTTTGCATGGGTGTGCTCATACATATATATATATACTAGAACCATAGCAAGCGCTTCGCGCGCGCTCAAGCTCTAGCTAGCTTCTTGGGGCCTCCTCGGAGCATCCTGGACTGCTTCTTGAAGTCGTCATGAGACCTTCTTGGCATGTCACCGGGGGCCTCTTAGAAGGAGTTTTGAAGCCTTTTGGTTGCCGTCTTGGGGCCTCTTGAAGCCTATTTTGGGCTTCTTGGGGGCCTCTGGTGCCTCTTGGCCTCTTGGGGCCTCTTGGGGGCTTCCTGGGGGCATCTTGGGGCCTCTTGGGGGCATCTTGGTGCGGAGAACTTGATTTTTCAGTTCGCGTTCCCTCTCTTGGTCCCTCTTGGGGCCTTCTTGGGACCTTCTTGCGCCGTCTTGGGCGGCTCTGGGGCCATCTCACAGCTCTCGCCCTCTTGGGGGCGTCTTGGGCCGTCTTGGAGCGGTTTGGGGAGCCTCTTGGGCGGTGCTTCAGCGCCAGAAACACGAAACAGCGAGAATGCAAAAAACAATGGGAACAAAAAAAACATGGAAATCAACGATTTTGCCCTCTCGGGGCGCTCTTGGGCGGCATCTTTAAAGGCCTCTTGGGGCGTCTTGGGGACCTCTGGGGCAGTTTAAAACGCATCGTGCGTCGCCAGAGACTCCTGGACGGCGTTTTGGGGGTGTCTCGAGACCGCCTGGGGCCGCCGGGATTGCTGTCTGAGGGCTCCCTGGGGCGATTTTAAGCCTCCCAGAGGCGGGCCCGGGCCCCAGTCCCCACATTTGCGGTCGAGGTTCAGGCCCGCGAGCCAGGTGCGCCGTTGTATGTATAAGAAATCTGCCGACCCTGTCGGCGCCAAGAGCCCCTAAAGGGGCCCGAAGAGGCCCCCAAGAGACCCCCAAGAGGCCCAACAGAGGCCAAAACAGGCCCGATAACATCCAAGAGGCCTTTCAACCACAACCCCAGCACGGTGGCGGGAAGGGCCGCAGGCCACAAGGCTCCCTGTCTGTCTCTGCTACGACTCCCTCGGCCCACATAGGGGAACCTCTCCTTCGCCTTCCCTGCTCGCTTCCACCTTAATCCCCCTCCTCCTCCTCCTCCTCCTCCACGTATTCGTCGTCATCGTTTTCAGGGTCGGCGGCACCGGCCGTAAGGCCTTCGCAATATGTGTGGATGTGTGTGCGTCGATTGTTTTCCACTGATTGTTCATATAGTTGATGGTCTTTCCATTGGTGTTCATTGTTGTTTCGTGAATATTACTACCGTTGCTCATTGTATGTTGCCCCGCAGGGCACATGTGTCGCATGGTTTGCCCCACCGAGCGCAAAAGTTGCGTTCCGCATGGCGCATTGCTTGTATTCTAGCCGCGGAGAGCGTATGGTTTTGCTCGTATCCCGTCGCACAACACATATGTTGTTCTTTTGGCCTGGCATCACGCGTTTGGGAACTATGGCATCGCAGAGCGCATGCTGCTGCTACCGTAGCCTCGCAGAACGCTTGGCTTTGTTAGCACGGCCTGGCAGAACCATCGGGACAACCATCGGGACAACCATCTCGGGACAACCATCTGGGGACAAGCATCGGGACAAGCATCGGGAAAACCATCGGATCAACCATCGGAACAAACGTCGGGACAACCATCGGGACAACCGACACAATACGTCGCACCACGGCCAAGCCTGGGGCGATTCTTTGTTGCCGACCTGGTCCTGGCCGTGGGAGGAAGTCGCGCTGCTTCGCCTCGCCTCGCCCGCCTGCACGCACGTCACGCGCGACACGAGCAAGACACCGGAACCGGTTTCCCGGTTGGGACGTGTCACGTTTTACGTCGGTCTCGTCCCCAACCTCCGACCTTGATGATTCCTGAGGTAGCAGTAGCGCCAAGAGGTCTTCCGAGCTCGTCTTTCATGCCTCGGGCTCGGCACCGGTTCTCGAGGTAGTACAGCACTCCTCACAGGAGGAGGGGGGGAGGCGACCTGGAGATGTTTCGCTGGTTCTGTTCGCCACTTCTTCACGCCAGGTCTTCTGGAGCCAGCGTGAAGCCTTCTGGACCCAGCGTGAAGCCTTCTCGAGCCAGCGTGAGGCCTTCTTGAGCCAGCATGAAACCCTAGTGCCTTGCAAAATGATGCCACTGTCAAAACTCTGCGCCAGATGCGCTTGGGAGTCGCGCAGCAGCCCTGCAAGAGCCCAACCGCTGGAGATGGCACGTTTTCCAACACGTCGAAGGGAACTCAGAAAGAACTGGGCGTGCATCAAGCTGAGGCCACCGAAGACACGGAAGAGCTCTTGCGGAAAATGAGGAAGAGAGAGCGGTCGCATGGCAAGAGGAACATGCGCGCGCGCGTGCGCACTGGGCCGAGCCAGGGGCTTGCGGACATTCAAAGTTATCCGTTTCGGTCAGAGTAGGTGCTTTACCCCAGGGATTACTTTCAAGAAGCCAGCAATGGCAAAAGAAGTAATGATGCTCAGAGTGCTCACGTAGACGAATCCGAGACAGATATATCCGCCACCAACTTCTGATTCGGTAGCAGTCGAATTAACAAACACGATCGGCGTGTCTAGAGGACCCTTGAGCACTTCTGCCCACGTGTAGGTGTATATGTTGACCACAAAATAATGCAATAAATACACCGCGAAAGCACCTTGGGCCATGAACCTAGTGACGGAGGTGTCACAGCCCCCGTGCTTCTGGAATAAGTCGACGACTGTCACTAGAAGGTATGGAAGGTAAGGCCCACTGGGAATCTGCAGCAGCAGCGCAACAATCAAGAAAGTGCTCTCCTCCGTCCCCAGGAGGGCCAGTGGCGAGATAACGGTGACAGAGACGAGTATTACCACGAGCACCATGACAGTAACATATATGCGCGACAACACTACCAAACGCTGAGGCAAGCGATTCACGAGCCAGTCGTTCCTCTGCGCCACTATGCCCGCGGCGAACGTGGCGCCACACCAAAAGCCGTCTCCCCCACTCATCATTGGGCCCTCCGCGAAACCAAGAGAGGAGCCACCGACCGCTAAGGCCACGCAAGCCGCCAGCTGCATAATTGCGAGCCCGATTGACCAGCAGAAGAAACGGGCAAAGCTTGGCACTTCCATGCGAACCTTGGGGCCACCGACCAGCGCATAGCAACACTGAAATACGAGCAGCCAATTTAAGAACCAAGTGTGAGCTGAATTGGGGAAGTACGAATATGATCCATCAGTAGGGCGAACGAGAGCATATGCCATGTAATACAGGAGGGGATTGAGGAAGAGCCAGAACAAGAAATATGCGGGGCCCAGTCGTGTTAAGTTTGCCCTCATGAAGCCCTGAGGACCTTTTTTGTCAAGGCCAGAAGCCGCGAAGAAGCCAGAGATAAAGAAGAAGAGCGGCACAACCAGCGGTTTCAAAAGCACGAGGCCAGCGAAGGCCGCGGGCATGAACCAAGTGTTTCGGCCCGAAGAGAAAGTGATGCCAGCACCTTGCACGGCGAAAGCCATACCAGTGTGGCCCAGTACCACACAACATATGAGGAACGTCTTGGCATTATCCAGCCATGGAATTCGCGGCGTCTGGCTCGGCGGCAACTCTGCCACGTTCCTGCCGTTCAGACCGCAACCCGTGCACGTCACAATCAGCACAAACAGCATGGAGAGGGGGGCCATGCCCCATCCTGCAGCGGCGCCAGCGCCTGTAGTCAGTCCAACTGCGACCACCACTGCGATCAACAACCACGCAACAACGATACAGATGCACAGAGCGGCCCACGGGATCTCACCACCTGCCCCGCCCACTTCCTCGCCCTCGGGCACTTCAGCCTGATTCTGCGTTAACAACTCCTCGCCCGAAGGATCACCCGCGGACATGTTTGTTAGCAGGAGCTCTTTGGAATTGGCTTCCATCCGCTAGATGCATCACAAATAGAATTGCGCTTGCACCGATTGAGCCCACATGGCGAAAGCCGCCGGATATGGCCCAAGTTTTAGATCGTTCGGGTAGGTGTCGGCTTTCAGCTGAACCCCAACAGGCACCCTAGAGGCACACAAGAAGGCCCACAAAGGAGCCCCCACGAAACCTCCAAGATGCGACCCACAGAAAGGAGGGAAGAGAGGGGAGGAGGACAAGCTAGGTGCGCTCGCGTCATATCTGACATCCTACCCCTTCCTCCCATCCCTTACCATGGCGTAGATCCCCTCTCTACTCGCACAGTCGGATGTCGAGCAGGGCAATGATCCCGAAAGGGTACGCGATGCATTGTAGAGCACGGCATGGCATGGCGTAGAAGAGCACCGCAAAGCGTAGTATGTCACATCGTGGCGTCACGATGTGGAATGACCGAGAACGTACGGCTGTAAACAAACACCCGAGACATTAGTCTGGCGAAGGAGCCAAACATATGCAGTTGCGAATCCAGTCGTTGTGCGTATCGCCTTCGGTGGAGCTCCCTACGGGGCCACGAAACGCATGAGGAGTGTGCCGAAATTAAGACTACCACTTACGAGCATGGCCACTGGGGCCTTCGGTGGAGCTCCCCACGGGGCCACGAAACGTGTGGGGGATGTGCCGAAATTGGTGGGGCGGACGCATGCGGGCTGCGCCACTGGGACCTTCGGTAGAGGTCCCTATGGGGCCACGAGTCGTGCGAGGGGCGCGCCGAACTGAGAGGGACAGACGCATGCGGGCTGCGCCACAGGGACCTTCGGTGGAGCTGCGCCACTGGACCTTCGGTGGAGCTCCCCATGGAGCCACGAAACGTGTGAGTCCGACATGGTCGTGTAATCCGTAACTCCGCAATTCCTCCTCTTCCTCCCTTCGTCCCTCCCTCTGTCTCTACCCCCATCCGTCCTTCTTCTCCTCCTCAGATTGAAACCATCAACACGCAGGAAGTCTGGATCGGCAGCCGAGTGCGCAGCAGCGTCGGCGACCCTGCTCCTCCTCCTCCTCCCCCTCCTCCTCCTCCTCCTCCTCCTCCTCCTCCTCCTCCTCCTCCTCCTCCTCCTCCTCCTCCTCCTCCTCCTTATTATCATTATCACTCTCCTCCCACATCCTGCTCCTCGCGCCCCAGCGTGCACAGGTGCGCGCGGGGATGGGAGGAGACGCCGACGACGCCGCCACCAGCGCCGCCGCCGCCAACGACGACGACGAGTACGAGTACGACGACGACGACGACGACGACGACGACGACGACGACGACGACGACGACGACGACGACGACGACGACGACGACGGCGACGGCGACGGCGACGACGACGACGACGACGACGACCCCCCTCTCGTCCGCAGACGGCACAGCGGGCCACGCTGCCCACCGACGGCGGCGACGGGCGGGCCCGCCGCCGCGGCGGCCGCAAGGGGGGCGTAGCTCGGCGCCATCGCCGCGCGCGAGTGGCTTCGCGCGCGCGCGGGAAAGCGGCAGGCGCGCGCGCGCAGCCGCCGCCGAAGACGGCCTGACGCAGAGCGGAGCGGCGCCAGCGGGGCTTGCCTACCCTGCGCGCCCCGGCAACGGCGCCGGCGGCGGCGGCAGGGACGCGGACGGCGGCGGCGGCGGCGGCGGCGGCGGCGGCGGCGACGACGACGACGACGACGACGACGACGGTGACGACGACGTCAAGGGCGCTCGCCGCGCGCCCACGGCCTGCACGAAAATGGAGGGGTTGCGCATGCTCCTGCCGCGGGGCCGAAGCGCGCGCGCAGCCCGCCCACCGTGCGCCTTTCGCCCGCCCATGCTTGCCCGACTGGGAGGAGCGGGGAAGAGGAACGGGCAGGTTCTGACTCCTCGCCCCCCAACGACAGCGCAAAGCCAGCCCGCCGTTCGAAGCGTGCCGCTGAGACAGGAGGGCGAAGCAGAGCAGAGCAAGCGGGAAGCCTCAGATCTGGGCGCCGCTGCACATATTATATATATAATGTATATATATGTATATATATATGTATATATCTATAAATGCACACCTACATGCATACATGCATACATGCACACATGCATACATGCATACATGCATACATGCATACATGTATACATGCATACATGCATACATGCATACATGCATACATGCATACATGCATACATGCATACATGCATACATGCATACATGCATACATACATACATAGATAGATAGATATATACATACATACATACATACATACATGCATACATACATACACGTAACAAACGATCCGGGCGAAGGACCCAAACGTATGCAGTTGTGAATACCGCAAGTGTGAGTATCTTGTTCGGTGGTGCCCACGAACCGTATGAGGGGCGTGCCGAAATGTGGCGGGGCACACAACACGAAATAAAACGATTGGTCCAATTACGAGAGATTGGGCGCCGGTGAATCTGAGCGCGAGTGAGTCTAAGTGTGAATGAGTCTGCGTGCGAGCGAATATAGTTACACGAATGCGATCATGGCTACGCCTCGTGAAAATCCTGTCCGTGCACTCGTGACACTGAGCGCGGCCGCCGCAGAAAGCTTCCGCAGGGAACAAAGGCCGTGTTGGGTGATGGCGGACGCATGCGGGCGGTGCCACTGGGACCTTCCGTGGGGTTCCCAATGGGGCCACGAAACGCTGTCCTGAGTGGATGAAACGCAGGGAGCAAGGGTTGTGCTGGGTGGTGGCGGACGCATGCGGGCGGTGCCACTGGGACCTTCGCGGTGGAGCTCCCTGTGGGGCCCCGCAACGCTGTACTGGGTGGGTGAAACGTAGGGAGCAACGGCCGTGTTGGGTGGTGGCGGACGCATGCGGGCGGTGCCACTGGGACCTTCCGTGGAGCTTCCTATGGGGCCACGAAACGCTGTACTGGGTGGGCGAAACGCAGGGAGCAGAGGCTGTGCTGGGTGGTGGCGGCCGCATGCGGGCGGTGCCACTGGGACCTTCCGTGGAGCTACCTATGGGGCCACGAAACGCTGTACTGGGTGGGTGAAACGCAGGAAACAAGGGCTGTGCTGGTTGGTGGCGGACGCCTTCGGGCGGTGCCACTGGGACTTTCCGTGGAGTTCCCTATGGGGCCACGATGCGCTGTACTGGGTGGGTGAAACGCAGGGAACAAGGGCTGTGCTGGGTGGTGGCGGACGCCTTCGGGCGGTGCCACTGGGACCTTCCGTGGAGTTCCCTATGGGGCCACGAAGCGCTGTACAGGGTGGGTGAAACGCAGGGAACAAGGGCTGTGCTGGGTGGTGGCGGACGCATGCGGGCGGTGCCATTGGGACCTTCGGTGGGCCCCCTTACGGGGCCACGAAACGCTGTACTAGGTGGGCGACACGCAGGGAGCAAGGGCTGTGCTGGGTGGTGGCGGACGCACGGGGGCGGTGCCACTGGGACCTTCCGAAGAGCCCCGTATGGGGCCACGAAACGCTGTACTGGATGGGCGAAACGAGAAAAAGAATGGCTGTGCTGGGTGGTGGCGGACGCATGCGGGCAGTGCCACCGGAACCTTCGTTGGAGCTCCGTGTGGGGCCACGAAACGCTGTACTGGGTGGATGGAACGCAGGGAACAAAGGCTGTGTTGGGTGGTTGCGGACGCATGCGGCAGGTGCCTGTATTGCGTGGGTGAAACGCAGGGAGCAACGGCCGTGTTGGGTGGTGGCGGACGAATGCGGGCGGTGCCACTGGGACCTTCCGTGGAGCCCCTTACGGGGCCACGAAACGCTGTACTGGGTGGGTGAAACGCAGGGAACAATGGCTGTACTGGGTGGTGGCGGACGCATGCGGGCGGTGCAACTGGGACCTTCCGTGGAGTTCCCTATGGGGCCACGAAACGCTGCACTGGGTGGGCGAAACGCAGGGAGCAAAGGCTGTGCTGGGTGGTGGCGCGCGCATGCGGGCGGTGCCACTGGGACCTTCGGTGGAGCCCCCTTGTGAGGCCACGAAGCGCTGTACTGGGTGGGTGAAAAGCAGGGAGCAAGGGCCGTGTTGGGTGGTGGCGGACGCATGCGGGCGGTGCCACTGGGACTTTCCGTGGAGCTCCGTATGGGGCCACGAAACGCTGTAGTGGGTGGGCGAAACGCAGGGAGCAGAGGTTGTGCTGGCTGGTGGCGGACGCACGCGGGCGGTCCCAGTGGGGGGTTTCGTTGGAGCTCCCTATGGGGCCACGAAACGCAGTGTTGGGTGGGTGAAACGCATGGAAGAAGGAGGAGGGAGGGGAGGAGGGGGAGGAGGGGGAGGAGGGGGAGGAGGAGGAGAGGAGAAGAGGAACGCGGGGACCGTGTCCTCAAAACGAGGACCCAACACGACAGACTGGTTGGGGAAAACATACCCTGGCGAAGTGCCCAATCATATGCAGGTGAGAATACCGCAATTGTCAATATCTTCTTCGGTGGCGCCCCCTATGGGGCCACGAAACGCTGTGCTGGGTGGGTGAAACGCAGGGAGCAAGGGCCGTGTTGGGTGGTGGCGGACGCATGCGGGCGGTGCCACTGGGACCTTCCGTGGGTTCCCTATGGGGCCACGAAACGCTGTACTGGGCGGACGAAACGCAAGGAGCACAGGCTGTGCTGGGTGGTGGCGGACGCATGCGGGCGGTGCCAGTGGGACCTTCCGTGGGGCTCCCTATCGGGCCGCGAAACGCTGTACTGGGGGGGGGCGAAACGCAGGGAGAAAAGGCTGTGCTGGGTGGTGGCGCGCGCATGCGGGCGGTGCCACTGGGACCTTCGGTGGAACCCCCTTTTATAAGGCCACGAAACGCTGTACTGGGTGGGTGAAAAGCAGGGAGCAAGGGCCGTGTTGGGCGGTAGCGGACGCATGCGGGCAGTGCCACTGGGACCTTCGGTGGAGCTCCGTATGGGGCCACGCAACGCTGTACTGGGTGGGCAAAGCGCAGGGAGCAAGGGCTGTGCCGGGTGGTGGTGGACGCACGCGGGCGGTGCCACTGGGACCTTCGGTGGAGCCCCCTATGGGGCCACGAAACCCTGTGCTGGGTGCCTGAAGCGCAGAGAGCAAGGGCCGTGTTGG